CCGTTTGGTAGGAAGGATGCCTCTGCGACATGTTCACCGATCCCAGCAATTTGAGTGGAAGAGATAAAATGGTGTGGATGCAGGTGATGCCGCTATGCCGGAACTTTTTCACCTAAACCATAGACTCCAAGGTCTAACATAGTCTTACAAGTATGGGGACGAATTACAGCGCGTTATAGTGATTTCGCGTCAATTTAATTAGGATTTACTATGAGCGTTCCGCACGTATCACAGCACGCGTCACGCGCTGCGACCCGCCCGCTGATCCTCTCCGTCTCTGCCTTTTCGCCGGGCAAAGAACCACCTTTCGGGTACCCTAGGGTGACTTTATAATTATGAACACTGTAGCGTGGAATCCATATATCAAACAGCAGCGAAATTTATTACGTAGGTTGATTACAGGCATAATCGGATTTACACACATATACGATACTATCTTGTCAGTTATTATTGGATGTTAGCACAGAAATTTCACCACCAGCAAATACTCAAATATACTAAGAATAACTCTACAAATAATTCAAACAGATAACACTATGTTGGAACTGCGTAGCAAGCCCCACTGCTAGAGAGAATGCCACTCTTATCCTACCAAAACCCACTCTATGCGGCCAATCAGAGAAGACTTGAACAGTTCCTCCACAGGTTACAGAACAAAGAGTACTTCTACTTCAAATTATGGAATTAATAAATAGGCAGCTAATTTAATCAGATCAACATGATTCATTACGCAAGGAAGCGAGTAGAATTGCGAGGTCCGAATAAAGCCAAGAAAATTGCAAAACGGGTATTTCACTTACATCTGCGGTAGATTGGCTAGAAGACAGAACGCAGCGAGCAGAGCAGTCATCCTTAAAATATTACAATGTCGCGACAGTGCAAGCCTGAACATGTTCCCCAAAGAAAACCGGTTCACTTTTTACCACGTGAAATGCATAAGCAACCACATATCAATTCCAACTGCTACCAATAAAAGGCACAGTCTCCGCCCCCTTTTTGAGACTGCACAAAGGAGACAAAAGAGAGCGCAATGCCCCTGAATCTGACCGTGAACTACTGCGACTTACTATCAAGGATGGCTTTCCACACCCTACATAAGTCCAATTCCTGTGAAAATAGTAAATCAAGAACCATGCACGCTAGCCAATCTACCTCAAGATAGACATCAGTAATCTCACTACGAAACTCATTTACACTCAACTGGAAATATAATCAAACATTCACAGATCTTAGGAGAAAGCGCCCACAAGTATATTCATAACAGTTATATGTCGTATTTGGGACTATCGAAGAATTTTTTAGGTCGTCGAGGAATGGGTCGCAAAAGGTTAGGTGCTGGAGATTTTGTGAGAGGACCGAGCATACTTTGATCAACAGCCGACTCGTAGGGAGGTGCCGACGCGGGAACTCGACCAATTTCTTCGTAGGGTGGCGCGGATGCTGGAGTGGCGCCATAAGCGGCTGCATCACCTGACGAATCCGATTCAAGGAACTTGAAGCCAATAATCCTGAAAATACGATTATTACTTCTGTATCAAACATCAGTTATTCGAATGATTCTATCGGAAGCTTCTCTGATAGTAGTCTAGAATGAACGGGAGAAGAAGAACAGGGGATTTTCTCAAGCGCACACGTAACAGACACAAAAATCCCTAGATGAGCAGTGAACATGTTCTCTGCTCACTCAACTTCCTTTGAGTTATTGATTCTGCGATTACGACAGGCCGCCCTAATAGAAAACACAGTACGTGTCCTCCAATGAGTGAATTTGCACGGAGTTTAAAAATATCACATTGTTTTCTTTGAGAATTACTGACAAGAAGGGCCATCATTTTATGATTCGCAATCATAATGCGGCTGTTATCTCATGTGATCTTTGAGAACACAAATCACTGCTGTTACTCTACATTTCAAAATTGTCTGCTGCTCCTAAATCTAATCTTTTGAAGCATAGATGACGACGAGGAGTAGTTTTAGTTACAGATGCACTTAAAGCACCCCAGAGGACATGTATAACAATCTATTCTGTGAGTGGAGAGGACTAGCCCATGAGCCGAAAGATGATTGCCGTGTCGCATCGAAAGGCGAGACAGGGAGCCTGGGAGTCTCAACAAGGTGGGCAATGGAGGAGTTACTTTAGCGACATACTCCGTGTGGTACCGCAACGGGATTACAAATAGTGATAATCAAAACACGCGCGGCGTTGGCTGGAGCACAATGGGCAGCAAGAGTATTCAGACACCCTTGCTAACGCCGCCCTTCCTTTTCTGTTGAAGGGAGGAGAGGAGTCCTAGTTAAGGGCTACATCGATAGGCGGGTTGCTTTGCTTCTTCGTTCTTCATTTTCATACACTTCAGCATTCACATTTCCACTATCGAGCGCTGTTACCCTAGCAATTTTATCTGTGTTGTTGCCTTTATGGAAATACAGGAAGAACATACAATTATGACATAGCCATGGAACACGTACAAATACGGCAGGCTTTCGGAAAACTTCAACGCTACAAAGGTCGAAGAACTGACCGAGGACATCCTCAACATCTGCAATACACAGCGTTCTTTTTCACGAGCGTCGTTCGATGCCATATGTATATCTCCTCGAGGATATGCAGTCTGACCCATGATAGGAATGGCCATACAGCGTGCAATATTTTCAGCACTCATTTTGTTCACGTCCTTCAACGCCTCGACCTGAAAACCCGATAATGAGTTGTAGAGAATACGGAATGACTTGCATTATTCCTCATTTACCCTCTGCAAGTGCAGCATTAGATACGATAACGTGTCCCTGTTAGTTTGAGGGAGATCACATACAGCAACATTCAAGGCTAGGATGTTGCCTGTCTGCGCGGCTCTAATGAATTCTTCACGGGAAGATTTTGGTACGAGTGGATCCTGAAAGATTAACGAAATTAAGGATCTCTTTTGCGCTCCAAACAGTAAAAAAAACAGTTCTCATACAGACTTAGAACGTACTCGTAACTCCCGCAAGAATGATTTGATGACGTCAGCAACCACTTCAGCCTCTTGAAAGGCGAGCTTAGGGATGCCACGAGAGGTCCGAAGCTCATTCAGAACACTTTGCGCCTATAGAAAACACTTGATCGATTCCTTTTCGAAATGAGTTAACAGAAGTCAGGCAATGAACCGCAGTACAATATGCAAATTATACAGAAGATAGGCACAGAAACTATGTATTCTCAACTGACATGATCCTTCCTTCCTGGGACACGATACAGCCCTTCACGACTCAGTCCACGATTTTCTAAATCCACCACGCAGTAGATTATAGGATATGCAATCATGGGTGGCGTTGAAGGGCAAAACTCCTGAATATAAAAGATGACTCCTGACAGTAATAAAAACAAATAATAGATGTCGGCAGCTGTCAGCTCCCATCCGAGTAAGCAAATTACCTGTAAATGATAAAAACTGCTGTCCACGTTTGTTCGGCGTGCGCGGAAGAACAGCAGT